GGGGGGGTTGGGGGGGGGTATGGGGGTGTTGGTGGGTTATTGGGGGTTACTGGGGGTTATGGACTCCCCCAAAAAAATATATTTATATATATTTTTTTGTGGGGTTTCAACGTCCACTGATCAGTAGGTCCCGACCAGCCGACCGGTCGGCTGGTTGGCAGCCGACCAAGGAAGGGGCGCCGACAGTCGGCGTTTGCAACTCTGGCGCAAGGGCATTTTGGACCCGGTTCTGACTGAGGCTCCCTCTGCACTTTTCGAGTCTTTGGGCTTCAGCTTGCGCCGTCGGTAAAAACAAATTGTGGGCTGGTCCTGCTTTTTTCACATTTTTTGCTGGGCTACCAGGCGTACCTCACAGGTGCTGACACCTGCTCGGCACCTGCCTGAAGGCGCGTTAGCGAATGCCTGTATCACTCTGATGGATACCCGGCTGGGTAACTGGGCCGTGCAGGGCCGCTGCAGGCAACCAGGCCGAAGTGGACAAATTTGCGGAAAGGCATTTCGACCTGGTTCTGGCCAAGGCGCCCTCTGCACTCTTTGGGCTTCAGTTCGGGCTGTCAGGAAAAGAAAAATTGGGGGCCGGAAGGCCCCCAATTCGTTTGCTCTCAGTGAGATCTGGGCAATCGATCTACGAAGATGGACAACCCAGGTCCGTCCTCACCCTAATAGAGAGAGCCCTGAAAGGATTCACGTGACTATTAGCCAGGCCCTGTTGGGCCTCAGAAAATCTCAAGCCCGTAGGGCCAGGCCATGCCAAAACACTTGAGGGCCAGGGCCCAAGTCGGGAAGCTTCCAGTCGAAATTAGAGGTCCAGTCCCGGTAGAAGTCAGCAGGGTCCAGTTTCGGGAAGTCATAGGCCCAAGTCAAGAAAGATCTAGAAGTCGAAGTCTACCTGTGGCCTGAAGAGTCCAGAAGTCAAGTCCTTACTGGTTGGGCCTGGTACCAAAGGAAAAGTCAAGAAGTCGAAAGTCCAACCTTGCAGCAGCACCTTCCGGAAGGCACTGGTACCCAAGAAACATGCAGCTCACTGCACACAGGCCCAAGCGCCCGGTACCGGTCCAAGCAGACCAACCCAGTCCATGCAATTATATAAGCAAGCACAGTGCCTTGGCGATGCATTCGGAGTTGCATGTTGCAGAAGCACTGTGCGGCTTGTGCGACCATTGCGACCCTGTGCCTTGTGGTAACGAGGAGGACAACGCGATGCAAGTCGGAAGCAGCGAAGAGGAAGGCGGCCATAGCCGCCGAGGTTGACCAGGCGGAGTGTGTCCGCGTGCTGGCAGGTGTATTAGATCCAGGCATAGAGGACGTGAGGCAGAGAGGAAGAGTGTACATACATGAGAAGGAAGAGAGAGGGAGAGACTAGAGAGACACATATCTGAAGCTGTTTACTGATGGACGTTGCTGGCCACTCAGCTGTGTCAATTTTTGAAATGAAACAAGTTCGTTGTTCTCTTGGTACTTGCTACTCATGCGTGTTTGGAAACCTGTTAAACACTCTCTGCTGAGCTTGTTTGATGACGACTGCATGTGAGATCTTTGGAGCTCTGTCATAATAGCTGTATTTGATGCAACTTTCAGTCCGGATGCAGCTACAATGACCGGGAGTTCGTCACAGACCTCTCCTAATCTCTGCGCCTTCGCCATCAACCTGCGGCCATCTTGTCACCATCACTCCGCCCTGTCATCACCACCTTATCGCCATCAAGACCCGTCACCACCTTTTCACCATCACGACCCCTTGCCATCCTGTCATTGCTGCCACCCCGCTTCCATACAAAAGAGGACAGAGAGAGAGGTCCTCCCTCCCCTACAAACATTTTGAAAGTCATGCATTGGAGCAAAGCCCGTTGAGGTCGCTCGCATGAGAGAGTGAGAGAGAGAGAGAGAGAGAGAGAGAGAGAGAGAGAGAGAGAGAGAGAGAGAGAGAGATTTCGAACATGTTGCTGTGGAGCAACGCCCAATTCGCTCTGCACTTGCGCACGATTGTTTGTGTGTGTGAAAAAGTTGAATAATGACGATTTCAGCCCCATATACACATTCCAAGCGTTGCGCAGTGGAGCAACGCCCGATTCACTCTTGTGCGCGCACGGGAGTGTGTGTGTGTGTGTTTTGTAGTATATCTCACGGCGTACTTGCCATGCACCCCATTCCATATGGTACACCAGGACCTGGTCATATCCAAACTAACGCTTGCCGCTGCCACTCCACTTCTCGGAAGTTACCTCATACATCCATGGCTTACCATGACCAGCTTTCCAGAGTCCCACATAGGATGGAGGGCATGGGGGAAGCGGGAGGGCAGACAATAAGCAAGCAGACCAAACAAGCAAACCAAACAAACAAGTCCCAAAAGGATGCCAAGAGAAGGAGATAAACATTAAGCTGGAGGGCACGGGGGAGGCAGGAGGGCAGACAACATGCAAGGACACCAAACAGGCAAC